AGCTAACATACATAGTGCTTATTCGGTCAGGCACTGTCCTAAATCAGAACTTATTATCACCACCCTCATTTTACAGATGAGGAAACTGAGGAACAGAGAAGTTATCTAAAACTTAAGTGGCAAAAGCAGGAATTGAACCCAGGCAATCTGGCAACAGAGTCCATACTCTTCACTGCTTTGTTAATGATGCTTCTCACCTGCCTGAAACATTAGTTCTGATCTAAAGATGACTTTCCATAAAACTATTCCTGTAACCTAGACAACAGAGATAGGGAATACACAAAAACGTCAGACAAAAATTAAAATGTTGCTGCTGTTAGTTCAGCAGAATCTGAAAAATAATCAGCACTATGAACAATATTGATGTTGGGAAACTTACTACTTACTGAGTTTACAAGGTTCTTAATAGCCATCATTTTAATGAAAGAGTCAGTGAAAGTCTGACACAGTTCCCTATGTCAAATCATGCTCAGATGGGCATAATTTAGCTGATGATAGTCACCAACACACACACAGCACACACACCCCTCCCACATACATTAACAAATAATTTTATCACGCAAGGAAGTTTATTTTGGAGAATACAAAGGAAAATATTTTACACTTTGAGTTACCTACTGATTTACATATTAATTTACATTGCCAGATAACCAATAAAAGACTCTGGACATCATCCCTGAATAAAATTCCACAGAACAACTCTAGCATCTCATTAGACACAAAACTCAGAATGTATCTTACTCTCCTTTCGAAGAGAGGCACACCTTTCACAAAATTATCAGAATCTGAAAACTTATGTCTTCATAAAAGGGAGTGGGAAGTGAAAGAGGGGATGTGGTGCATGAGGGAAGAGAGGGAAATGTATTGCACTTTTTTAAAAAAACATGGTTTCACTTAAAGATCATCACAATGTGTTATTATCCTCATTTTACAACTGATGAAACTATGAATGCATGATGGTGGGCAGACTGCCTCCTCTTCCCGTTGTCTATTTAAAGATCCACCTCTAAAAATAAAGATTCCTAATTCAATTGCTACAATTCTGTATAATTTGCTACATTAACCAAAGTGAGTCACCACTTAACTTCAAGTGTCATAAACACAGGGTACCAATAGTTGGTCTTCTAACTCTGAAAGATCTTAATACTTAAAATAAAGAAGAGAAAAGTTTTAGAACTTTTATTAAAAGGACCAATTTATCCATAAATGGAAAAGAAATGATTTACTTACGCTCTGTGAGTAAATTAAGAAATTGATGTTGATGGCTTTCTTTAATGGAAAATAACCAATCTATCAATGCAACCTTATGCTCAAGGGCCAAAATAGCTGTAGGTTTTCCTACCAACAAATATGTGACAGTGAATAAAGAAAGAATGGAATTAGATTGAAATACAGATTCTTTTTCCCAAGTCTGGAGATGACTCAACATGTGGCTTTGGGTGTCTACATAATGATGACATTCTATGAAAACTTCCTAAATAGTGCCAAAGAGAAATGTTAAATTAGCTAAATTATTCTCTTATCTTTATAAAGTAAGGGCCAGAATGTTCTTCAAGATACCTTTTTAAAATGGAAGTGAAAAGCAAAGACAAGGTAGGCAACTTGCTTAAAGCTTCAACAGAAGACACAGGAGGAGACTGTGTGAATTAGATCTGGTAGAATGTATCACGTTCTTTTTACTTGCCAAAAAGGAGGGCATCTGGGAGTCTAATCTGGCATAGCTTCAATAAAAAGATATAAAATGATTAATGATGCTGCTGTGTAGGTGGAAAGTGAGGTCAAGACATGGGTTTAAGGATGTTAGAATTGCCAGTGGAAATTAGTGGGGAAAGTAAAAAAAAAAGGCATACCTAATGCATTTCCTAAAGACTTCCCTTTGACTGTTTTAGATCACTAGCACAACATTCATTATAGAAACCCAGGGTATGTGAAGATTTATAGTTCAATTAATCTGAAGCAACTTCCAAGGTCCGTAACAAAGTGGTTTGTTAATTTGTTGAGGCAGGAATTAAGATCCCAAGGCTGAAAAGTCTGAGAGCAAGTCATTTAACCAGTGAATGAACCTAGACAACCACTGAGCACTTTGTTATTCTTATTTCATCTTCAGAATAATCCCGTGTGGTATTTCTGTCCCTATTTAATAGATGTAAGAAAGAAATGATATCCTATGGTGGCAATCATGAAGATGTTAGGATATATTCTGTAAAGAATGACAAGTCTATTTACACATTTCCAGCCTAATAAAATACCATTCAAGAGTCAAAACTTAAGATACTTCTCAAATTACCTCAATTCCTCATTGTAATGAGTAACATCTGCACTCACATATGCTCATATAATCCTTTGATAGTACTATATCCCTAATTCAAGTGATACTTTACCTGTTATTTTCAAGAAGAGATAAAGGTATAGACAAATAACAAATTTCCATCAGGCAAAAAGCATCTTTTCAAATGGCTTAAGTTATTGCAGGCACTGTTGCACATATTACTAACTCTTCTCAATTTCTAGTGAGTGATATATACCATTAATGTCCCTTTCCCCACACCACAATAATACAGGCAACCTAGTCTAATGGAAGGCACAAAGAATTGGGAGAGGTGGTTCAATTTTTTCTATACTTCAGTCTCCTCACTAATCAAATATTCTAGTAAATGAGTGGTGCAAAGGAACCTGGAGTTTTTGTGACCAAACAGCATTAACAGGAAAAAAGGTAACTAAAAGCTCAAATATTAAATAAATGGAAGGAACTATAAATTTAATTGGCGAAACATGTATTGAGTACTTATTATAAATAATAACCACAGCATTAATAGCTGTTCAAAAGGATGCATGAGGGAGAAACTGAAAGGAATTGAATAAGTATAGTCTGGGGAGGCACAGAGAAAATTGCAGCTTGGTATCAAAGCCTGGAGAAGACATATTTAGCTTCTGAGAGATGGACAAGCCAACCTTAGAAGAATCCCTTGTTTAACTTGCCCCTCCCTTACCAGTAGCAATCTCATCTTCTCATCTGCTTCTTCCCAAATTACACGTATAATACGGGAGAAGAAACAAAACAGCGGGGGAAATTACAATCACCTAATTGAGAGCTATAAAAGATACATGTCCACTTTGAATAGTTACACTTAGAAACATGGTGACAGGAAGCAGAGATGCCACTGGCCCCCCAAAAGACTGCAGTTTCCATAGGCTAGTCACAGCTCACTTTTTTATATTTAACATTAAGACAATTTTTCGGTCCTCCATTTAGTACTTATGTCATTTTACCTGGTAATGCAATTTCAGTATATTACTTTCTCAAGTCACTTCACCTTGGGAAAGAGAAAATGTGGGATGGGCGTTCAAGAGTGTGCTTAAATCATATGTTCTTGTTTTCCCATTATGGCTATGTGCTCTCAGTAGTCACTGCCCTCTCATCTACACCCTTCATTCAGCGAAGTATCTGAGACCTTACTTTGTGCCAGGAACTGTCCTGTCACTGGTGTAACCAGGTAAACAGGACCTACACGATCCCTGTCCCTGTCCCAGAATAGACTTGAGAGGAGCCAGTTACACCCACATGCTGTGTGTGTGTGTTTGTGTCTAAGATGGTGTGGATAAGAAGAGCATTCTAAAATAAGAGATCAGAAAGTGCACAGTGGAGTGGAAAAGCGCTGGTAGAAGGGATGAACTGCGACCAGTGTAGCTGGAGTCTACAGAGCAAGTGACGTAAGACTAGACTTGTAAACTTGCCTAAGGACAGTAAAGTAAAGGAGGGCCTTGCAAACCATAGCAAGGAGTCTGGATTTACCTAAATGCAATGGGGAGCCATATAATTAGTTCTATATCATCACAGACAAATGAATTATACGATCCCTTTTTCTTAAAGATCACGCTGGTAAAATGCGATTTGCGAAAATAGTTTTAAAAGCAGAAAACCGTAAGTTACAAGAATTATTCATTTCTCCCATCTCAGAATTTCCATCTTTAAAGAAAATGGTTTCAGCCAGAAGCCATTTTCTTCCCGCTGCTCTGTGCCTAGGCAGTGAGAACTCACTTGGTCATATTGACCAAGAAATTCCCCTCATCCCTCCCGATGCCCAGCACGCAACTGGCGCTCTGAAACTGCTCAGAACAATAATTCAGTAAAAGGCCTGTCCGGGCCGCGAGGGAGGCGCTCCAGGTGCGGACAGGCCCCGGGGCCAGAAAAGAACGCGGTTAGTGGGGCCGGAGACCGCAAGAACAGGCAGACAAGGAAACTGAGGGCCGGCTCCACCACAGCCAAGAAGGGGCGAGGAAAAAGGCCGCATCCTCAAGGGCTGGGGGAAGGAGAGGTGGACTCCGGGCCCCAACACAGGGAGCTAGGAGAGGAGGCCGCAACGCGGGGCTGAGGAGGGGTTTGTGGTCCAGACCGGAAGGCCCAGTTACTCACCGCAGCGGTGGCCAGGCTGTGCATGTTGGGAGCGGCCGCCGCTCTCCTCCCTCCTCCGGACGCGTCCAACTCGCGTCCCTGCTTCAGCGCCTCTGTTGCCAAATATGCTGAGCCGCAGCAGCCGCTGCAGCCGCCATCGACCTACGGCTCGCTCCGCCCCCTTTGCAACTCTCTGACCTTTCACTCCTGACTCCACCCACACAGCCTCTTCCCGCCTCCTAGCTATCGGCGGGAAGTTTATAGACAAAGTACGTCCTTTGCCCCTTCGGATTAAGGGCTGGAAGGACGTCCGCCACCGACTAGCCCCCGCATCCCACTGCTGCGAGCATGTATCCCCAGAAAGGGGCATGAACTCTGACCTTCACCCGGAGGCCAGTGAAGGGCGGCAAAAGCCCGCACTTCCCGGAGAACAAGTAGTGCGCATGCCCAACTGGCCTGAGTAGGAGGGAAACGGTGGGAAGTCGAGCGGGTGAAGTGGAAACTGCGCATGCGTACTACAGTTTCTGCAGGGGCGGGGCTGATGGCGTAAAAGGGGCAGAGTTTTAAGGCTTGCGCGCACGCGCCTCATCTGGTCGCGTCGGGTGTGCGTGCGTGCGTGCGTGCGTCTTTGCGTGTGGTCACAGTTCCCGCCATCAGCCGCTGTACCTGACTTAGGGGGAGAGAGCGGCCCCTCTCCGTCGGCCCGGGGTCCCTTCCTTCCTTACCCCCGGCTCCTCCCCCTTCGCGCGGACTCTGCTTCCGGCAGGCCCTTTCGGGGCTCCTGACCCGCAAGCACAGGTAAGGCGGACCCGGCGAGCTTCTCAACTGAGCCGTTTTCCCCAAGTCTCCCCCCCTCCCCTCGCCCCTTGCGGTCCGCCCACTCGGCGTTCACTCTTCGGGAGTTCGCCTCGCTGCTGCTTTGCTCGCCCCCATCCCTTCGTCGCTACCCGGGCTTCACATGGTCTTCCTTCTGGCGCCCCTCTCTTTTGACCCGGTCTTTAATGTCACTCGCTTCTTCCTTAACCCGAACCTGTCCCCTTTTCGTTGGGGGCTGTCGTCGTCCGCCACTCGCCCCTTAGCATGGCCTGTGTCTCTTCAGGTGACCCGTTGCAGCACATCCATCAGGCCTTGCACATGATACTCTTCATTACCATTCCTCACCTTCTTTCCTATTCTAACCATCTCTTATTAAAATTGTATTTTTGTCGTGCATTTGGTTGCTTCCTGTCCCTAGCCATCAGATCAGGTTGTCAGGTTTACCTGTTTTAGGTCATGATTCATGGAACGAAATGATAATTGGTGACAACAATCTGTGTTTTGGAGAGTTGGCCTGTAGGGTTTTGTGGTAATCCTTTTTAAAATTTCGGCTTTGTGTAAATGTCTTTTTTGGGGTGGCAGTATCTGACAAGTCTCTAACTGGGAGAGATAGCTAAGAAAGGATGACAAGGAGACAGTTAACTACTGGGTTGGTGTTCAGAGGAGAATTCTGGGCTGGATACAGAGATATATGTGTATATACTATCTGCCATGTTGATAGCAATAGATGTGGATGTGGATAAAAATGCCTAAAGAGAGTATGGAGCTAGAAAAGAAGGGGACCTAGGATGGAGCCCTGAGGGACGTGGCATTTAGTAACTGAATAAAAGGAGGACAAGTCTTGTAAAAGAGATGAGAAAAGTAATCAGTGTTGAATTCTGGTGAAAGGTGAAGTTGAATGAGGAATGAAAAGACCAGTTACATCAAAGTTGTCAGTAATCATAGCAGGATGTGTGTGATAGAGTAAAAAGGAGTATCTGGATTCAGTCCTATTCTCCTTTGACTCTTCCCTTCCAGCTTAAGCTATAAATTCCACCTATGTATATATGGATGACTTGAGAATTTTTGTTTCCAGCTCAGCATCTCAACAGCCAACTCTCTCTGCTTGACATCACTTGATTTTTTTCTTAAGGATTTAAAATATCCAAAACCGAAGTCTTAATCTTTCCATATTCAAATTTCCTCTTCTAGTATTCCATTTCATTAAGTGGCATATCCATTTATCCACTTACATACGCTAAAAACTTGAAAGCTTGACTACTGTCTCATCCTGTGTATATACCCTTGTCGAGTTCTGTTTATTCTGTTTCTAATATATGTTTTGAATCTATATCTTCAGTATCACTTTTCCAGTTCAAGCCACAATTCTCTTTCACCTGAATGTAATGTCATTAGATCCCTGTATTCTTGTCTGTAAAATGGGAATAATAATCACCTTATTGGGTTGTTGTGAAGATTAAAGGAGATAACCATAGTAGCATATGGCACACAAGAAATAGCCAGTAAGCATTAATTGTTATTGTAATTGTTAGAAGCTGAATCACTTCAGTGCTGTCTTATCTGGTTGCTCTGTTTTCTTCCATTGCTTCTTTCACTCTTCCCCAAATCCAAACAAACCTCATCACTTCTCTGTTCAGTAGTAACATGTCATTTCTCTGCTTAAAACCCTTTAGTGGATTTCCTAGTGCTAAATGTTTATTACATTTAGGGTAAAACTCAAAATCCTTACCTATGGTCTACATGATTCTACACAACCTGATTCTTTCTGGTGCCACTAACTTCATCTTCCACCGTCCCTCTCAATGTCAGTAAACTTTAGCCACGCTGTTTTCCATTTTGTTAGCCACACCAAGTTATTTTCCATCACCGGGCCTTTGCACATGCTGTTCTGTTTGCCTAGATTGTTCCAGTGGAATCCTTAATTAACTCATTCAATTTTCATCTTAACTGATACTTTCTCAGAGAAGCCTTCTCCTGATACCCTCTCCCCTCCCTGCTCAAGTCTTAAAATCAGGTAGCCTACTATAATCTCTCATTATGTGCTATACTTTATATCATTTTTCAGAACTCATGTATTTACTTGTGTGATTAATGTCTTCTAAAATACATGGTAGTAACCATTTCTATTTCTCAAAAATTTGTTAAATGGATAAGTGAACTGGGACTTGCTGTAAGAACTGTTATGTTCTTTGGAAGCACCAGCTTACTAATATTCTTGTCATCTGATGACAAGTACTTTTTCACTCTGTACACAATTAAAGATCACAAAAGAAAAAAAAGGGTTTTCCAGCTTTGGATGATTTTATCCATTCTTATATCATAAAATAATTCATATTTTAGCCTGAATTGTAGATAAACCTCATCTAGGTCAACTTCTTTTTACTTTCAACCACAATACTACTCTTAATCTCTTTGTTCATTTGTTTTATGGATCCTTTCAGGAAACAAAGCTTTTAGAAATCAGAGCAGTGGTTTATACATTTTAACAAAAGGTTAAACTATGAGACCAGTGAGGATGAAGTTGCCAAAAATAGATGGAGAATTCCATATTTAAGTAAGTTGTTCGTGGATATGGGAGAAAATACTGAAATTTAATAATTTGTATGTGTGTAGAATAGGACTTGTGTTGCAAAATAGGAAGTGTATGAATGCCAAACACGTGCATTTGTATTTATAGGTAGCAATGAGCTGCTAAAAATGTTTGAAAGTTTCAGTTAAGCAAGTTGAATAGGTTCTGGAGATATGCTATACAACATGGCACCTGTAGTTAACAATATTGTATTGTACACTCAAAATTTGTTAAGAGGGTAGATCTTATATTAAGTATTATAATAAAATTAAAATGTTTTTAATATTTGGGAGGGAATTAGCATCAATAGTAAGTATTTTGCACTTACTAAGTGCTTGTTACTTTGTTGTAGTCCAGAAGAAGAGAAGACAGGTCCACCAGCCCCCCAAACATGCACACTTGAGACAGCTAGTCCATATTTAGTTGGTAAGAAATAAAAAGAGTAGTTCTTCAGAATGGGTTTATAGAGTAAAGGATTGATTGGATGGAAAAATCCTGAAAGAATATAGAGACTGAAGTGACTTGCTGCAAATCACTGGTGAGGATGCAACACGGTGGTTAAAGAGTGTGGGTTCTGGTGCAGAGACTTAGTTTGTCTCTTACTGACTCTAGCCATGAATAAATTAATATTTCTAAGCCCTGCTTTCCTCATCTGTAAAATAAAGATAACAATCTCTGTGCTTTAGGATTGTGAAAATTAAATGAGATAATGCATGTGTGGCACTTAGCATTATGTTTAGCAAATGCATAATAAATATTAGGAGTGGTGGCAAAGTGATGAGTGTCTGGATTAGGGTAGTAGGTGTGAAAAGATTGGGTTTTTAGGTAATGAGAATGAAGTTAAAGCTGATGCTAAGATTTTTTGTCTGATGGTGGAAGGACAAATACAGGGAAGTCTGGGCGCCTTTCAAGAAGGGCATGGATTGTGTCATCACATTTATATCCCTACACTTATCATCAAATTGGAGTAGCTCAATAAATGATCTTTTTCTGAGTGAACAAATGAGTTTGACGTTGATGTTAAAACAGTCGAGAAGGCACTGAGAGATTTTTGGGTAGAACTTAAGGAAAAGGTGAGGCTTAAGAGAGGTCTACATTGAGAAACCAATAAAAGTTGGTTTTGAAAGAAAAATAAAAATCCCTAGTTTACCCACCTTTTGAAATTTGTATCAACGCATCTTGGAAGTGGTATTTTAAGACTTAAGACATCATTATGAAACAATGTTTATAAATTCAGCAAAGGATACTCTCTTCTGCACTGCCTTCTTGCAAAATGTAGCAGGTATAAATAAACCAAGACACCTGATAAGGTTCAGTCCTCCTCTTGGAGTCCCTCATTTTGTACAGCATATACATATCCCTAAAGTTCTATTAATCTTCTGTGTGTTTGTATCTTGAGCGTTATATTTTAAATGTCTTCAGTAAGGTAATTTGTGGTTTTTAGACAATGAAAGAAAGGGTTAATATTTGTTGTATAATTGCTTTTTTTTTGGAAATACTTTTTTTAAAAGGCACATTTGTATTTTCTTTAGCTGAGTTGATGTCTTCCGGAGAACTGGCATAGCTGCAGAATATGAGTAGTTCCCCAAGAAGAGTGCATTGCCTTTGGCACAAGGATCAGAATAAAGGTGAATTGTTATTACATAGGGTATTTCAGTAAAAGTCATTGACAAGTAAGTAATGTTTTTATCTTGGATTTGTATTTCCCAGAGTATGCAAATTGTCAAGATTCACAGTTTTCTTTCTTCTTTGTAATAACAGTTTTATGTTACAGCATGCTTGCTTTATCACAGAATGCCCTCTGGATAAGGATGTTTTCAAAGTACTACTTTAAATGGGAGCCTTTAAATAACTGCAGAGTATGGAAATATTTTTGCCAGTATTACTGATAATGCTTTCATAGAATGCTCAAAATTGAATAGTAAGTTTAATAATTGTGAAGAAATTTAGGGAAAGGGGAATCTCTTTCGTGGATGTACTTAAAGAATAGTTTTTTATTTTATTTTGTCTTCCTAATATCTCTGTGATAGCAACTTAGCATTACAGAATTCAAAGTAACCTTGTCTTTGTCCTAGGTTCATAGAAAGTTTAATTGTTACTGGATCATGCCACATATTGAAAAAGAAACTTAGTTTTTTTTGCTTGGGCAAATGGGCCAAATCCTGATAATATGATGAATGTACATAAATAGATGTAGTTCATTTAGTGTAAGATCAGGTAATGGACTAGTTGAGGAATTAAGAAAGTTTTATGTTACTGGTTCTGCCCGTTTTATGTCCAGAACCTCTTAGGTTTTCTTTTTTCCTTAGAAGAGAGAGAAGTTGCTAAGAGAAATTATTTTAGAAATGTTCAGTATCTGAAATAAAATTTTACATACCTAACCAAAACTCTGCACCAAAATGTTTAAGAATTGTATAGAAATTTGGTATCTCATATAGAGAATTATGTATAGATAAACTAGTAACCAATAGTTTATTTCTCATATGCTTTACTGAACTTTTAAATTGTCACCTCCAAATTTTGTTGAATAATTTTTAAAACTATGCTTTTGTTGTAGGAATTCAAGGTCAGTGACCTTTATGACTTTTAGTCTGTAAGCAAAACAATAAGATAATGTTATTTTAGGGGTTTTATATTATTTCCTTTTAATTTGGTATCCTAACCCATACAATATGAAGAAACATGAGGGAATTTGACAAACTCTTAAAATGGAGCTTCTTCATTGAACAATGAATAATGTTTTTGTTTTAACACATTCTGTAACTGCATAGTCTTGTTTTTCATAAGTGGTTTTTCTCTCATTGAATTTTAAGATTTAAGAACAGCTTTGCATTTAGTTGAGAAGTTCAGGTGCACATAGGAAAAGCTTAGATACAGTATTCAAAAGATGGGTTTTCAGTAATACAGTGCAGACTGATACCTTGGAAAGAGCTTAGTAAATATAACCCTGTATTGACCATGTTAAAGAGATTTATAGTTCTGGGATCTGCTGTTGTGTATTTTTTTTTTAACCCCTATTGCTTCCCTGCTGTTTTTTTAGCAGTAAATTGAATAAAATTGATAGTGCTGATTTGTTCATTATTCTTGAATAATGAGTTTGTTTCTTATGTGTCAGACACTGTTCCTAGTGGGGATACAAAGATTAAAGAATATATTTTCTGTCTTCAAACAGCAAAGTCTGGATAGACAAAGAGGTAAATGACACAGGGTGATAAATGCTCTAATCAGAGATAAGCACATGATACAATGTATTAAACAGTTTCAGTGTGGATATAGGATTAGAGAAAAAGTTTGAAAGACAGCTAGGAAGAGCTTCTTAAAGAAGATAATATTTAAGTTGAGCCTTGATTTTTATAGCTGGTAGAAGAAATTAAAGAGAGCTGTGGAGAATGGGGAAAGTTCATAAAAATCTTCCAGATTGACCACAGTGTGTGCAGACTTACAGTGGCATGCAAATGTGTGGCTTTTTTAGGGAAATTGTTAATTCAGATGGCTAAATTTAGAGGGCTTGTTGGGGATGGAGAATTGAGTAGACCCTAGATCTTGAAAAGTATTTAGATAATGTTAATGAGCCTAGATTTTATTGTGAGAACAGTGGGGAGCTGTTGAATGATAATGAGGAGATGTGATTTGATCTGCTATTCATTATAAAGATGTGTGGGAAAGTGTATGGAGGTAGAACTGATCTTTCATTTCCAATCCAATATAGTAATCATTAAGAGAAGAATCAAAGATAACTCATGTTTTTGGCATGGGCAACAGGGATAGAAGGGGGGCCCTGCATTTTTGGCATTACCGAGAGACAAGAGGGGAAAAAATCTCAAGGACATATCCAGACAATTAAGTACCAAATTATTAATTGCAAAAAAAATGTATTACAGACACACATTGCTAGCAAAAAATTCTGTAGTTCCCAGTTTGAGCAAAATATTGTGTTAAGAAACAGGTCTATTATAAACAATAGTGGTCTCCATTACTTAATAAATTCATATACCCAGCAAATTAACGCTATTTTCTGGCGACAGTAGGAACTCAAAAAATTTGCTGAGTGAATAATGAATAAAGGACTTACAATATATAACACCTTTTAAATTTCAAAGTATTTTCACATCTCTATAAATTTCATCCCAGTTATTTGATGTACATTGCCTAGAAGCCTTGAAATACAGGTCCCTAGGCTGTAGCCTACCCACAAGTGGATTTTGTTTGATTTCTAGCTTTTAAAAATAAATTTGAATTCATTGCCCACAGTTAAAAATGGGCAGTTTTACATAGAAATTTTTATGTCATTTTCTTGAAAAAGTAGATGATCTGGCAATACTAGGTTCATTTCTACATGGGAAAATTGGCTAGATTGAGAAGCAATTTTCTTATTTTGTCTGCCTAAGTCATGTCAGCTGTCTGGCCTCTATAGGGAGTTAAGTTGGAGACTCCTGTTAATAACTTAGTTTATTTAGGGTCTTTGGAGAAAGAGGTATTGCAGACAAGAACTAAATTCATAAAATGGATACTAATTCCATTCATATTAAAGCTCCTGTCTGTTGAGTGCCTAATGTGTGTTATTTCATTTAATTCTGCAACTATATAGCATTTGCTATTCCACTTTTAATGTTGAGAAACTAATGGATGGAAAAGGTAAGTTTTAAATTAGTAGGTGACAGAGCTGTCACTTGATATCTAGACCTAGTATTTTTCCTTTGTATACTACTTTTTTTAGCTTTCCTAGTTGAGCTGTTTAGTCAGAGGCAAAGTTTATAATTTTCAATTTATTCAGTTACAAGCAAGAATCTGCATTAGAGGCATTGTTTTTAGAGATTTGGAAGTAGTATTAAGTTTATTTTAACAATGTTAGATGATTGTGTGTATGTATATTTTTATGTAAGTAAGACACTATTAACGTTCTCTGTTATGTAACTAATTGCTGATATTTGGTTAGCTAGTTTGAAGAGTCTTAGACATTCTATCATTGCTGTAAGTCATTTTTAAGTATTTAGAAATTCTTTTGGGTAATTATAATATTTGTCAAGGTAAAAATTGGTGTAAAGATTCTTTCCGGTTACGGTAATATTAAATATAAATGATAGGTGGTTCTTAGGAAGAGAGGTTTTTTTGTTAGTTTTCCCTAGAGACTAAATGATTTTCTCAAATAGAATTCTGGAGGTCAAACTAATTTGATCATTCTTACTATTTTTTATATGTTTAATATCTTCTATACATGTGAATATGCTTAGACTGTAAGAAGTAATTTTATGGTGATATTTGATATTTTGGGAGGAACACCATTCTAAGAAACGGTATCATCTGAAAGTTTTTTTCTCCTTGTGGTTGAAACTTAAGACCCTTTAGCATTCATGAAGGGCAGTAAAAGTTGGTCATATTGCTGTGAGCAATCACATTGCGAACAGAATCTTTAGTATTCCTGATTGATATGCCTTTAGTGGCATGGCAGCAATATAATTTTTAATGGTGCAAAATACAAAATTTAGGTATAAATGGGCACAGGTGCTGGACATAAGGCAAAGAAGGAACATGTACAGAAGAAACAAAAAGTGGGTAGATTGAGTCACTGAATGTCAGTGACTGCTTTTTAGTTGTCTTTTTTAGCCATGCCAGTCCAGCTAATCAAGGCAACAGGATGCTTAATAAAAGGTTTATTGAAATGGAGAAAAGGACTTAAGAGAATCTTCAGTGTTCTCTTTCAAACTCTTATTTTAATCACTAGTAAATTGTGACTTACTATCTTATTTTTCTTCCTTAGAATCTTTCAGGTGAAGGTGTATTTTTGCTTTTTGCTTTGCCTAGAAGCAATTTATTTTTTAAAGAAAGAATGTCTACTCTGAAGATACATGGTCCTATCAGAATTCGAAGTATGCAAACTGGAATCACAAAATGGAAAGAAGGATCCTTTGAAATTGTGGAAAAGGAGAATAAAGTCAGTCTAGTAGTTCACTACAATACTGGAGGAATTCCAAGGATATTTCAGGTATTACCAAATTTTGATATGGAAATAGATCTTGAATCACACTCTGGTGAATAGCTGTTCCATTCACTAGCCATGCCAAACCATTTTAAGTATCATTGTAGCCCTCCTCCTAGGTTAATATTTCTTGCTTCTTATTTCTAGGCCACTACTATTTTCATATAAATAGTTTATAAATTATTCAGCAGCATTGTTAATGGTATATAATAAAGAATGGGAAGTAATCACCTATCAAAAACAAAGGAAGAATCTGAGAGGAATTGAATTTGGATACTATCTAAATTATTTTAAAAACCACTGTAGGATAACTTCAGTTATTCCTTTTTTTCTTAACATGTGGTAGGTTCATCACTTTAGTGTTAGCTTTTAATAGGACTTACTAGTGTCTTCTAAAAGCTAATGTCTACTTCGTAAATAATCCTGCTAAAGGTTATGGTATGAACCATTCATGGATAATCATTCATAGTTATCCTTATAGCTGTTTCCTTCTAACTGTAAGCTTTATAAGGATCTCATTTGTATTAGTGCAAAAAAATAGTTAATTTGTTTTCACTTCTTTACTGTTTCTCTGTGCATCAAGAACTACTCATCTTAATATGAGCTGAATTTAAGAACATAATGTCTAAACATTTTTTTGCACTTTAAAATTCTATATTTGTTAGATTATACAAAAGTATGATATTCTAAACTGAGGTACTCTGTTGAACAATTATAAAACTATCCTTAAGGACCTGGTGGAGGTAAAATTTCCATTTGTCTTTGCTTTTGAACTTTAAAAATTCATTGCTTATTATTTTGTGTGTCAAAGATACTCTTAGATTGGAGGTGGTGACATGGGTAATAGAAACAATAGTAGTTTCTGCCATGTACATCTACTAATTTACATTTCAATGAGAGATTATTTTCAAGTGAGATTTGTATTTTCAGTACTCAGCCCAAGTTAACACTCAGTAAAAATTTGCATATTTAAGCAGACATAGATCTTCAGGAGCATGATGGTTCTATCTCTGATTTCAGCCTCTTCTCAGTTCTGGATCAGTTTGCATTTAGCATTTATTTAACCACTTTCAGATTACTGTGGTGGGTATTGTGCTAAAGGCCAAGAATACAGAGATTAATGAGACACTTCCCCTCAAATTTAAGTGTAACTAAATACATTCTCAGCTGCAAAAACATTTCAAAGATACTGAGGTAGCACAAAAAAGAAAGTGGTTTGTGCTCTGAGGATTTGGGAGAATATATAGGAGTTTGCTAAACACAGTGGAGTTTGGGCCATGGTGATTTCTACACATGGATAAACACATTCCAAGTGTGAATCAACCGTTAGGGAACCAAAACATTATTTTAAAATAAATGGACAAAAGAGTGAGTAGCAGAAGTAGAGGCTGAAGAGCTAAATAGGAACCAGATCTTGAAGTATCTATTTGTTATCCTAAGGCATACTTAGTATCTAAGGAGCCAATAATCTCAAGTTGATATTCATTTGAGGACTAGGCAGGTGACTTTATTTCAAGAAACAGTGAGAGAGTAAGGACACGTAGGAGATTTTTATGGGGGTTTAAATGAGGAATGAGCAAAGGAAAAAACATTAGAAGCAAGAGGAAAGGATAGATTTGAAGAGGTTTCAAGGAGACTTAACTCACTAGATTTGGAGGGGACAGTGAAAGAGAGAAGAGTGGGGGGATTCGTAAGTTTCTGAGTGGACGGTAGTTCCTTTCAAGTCCTCTGTGATAAGGAGCAGAGGGGAAGAATTGGGGTGTGAAGATTGAGAGAGACGACTTGTTTGAGGTGTCAGGCATTCAGAAACTGGTATCTAGTAGGCATTGGGTAAATAGGACTGGTGGCCCAGTACAGAGATCTGGACTTAGAGAAGAGTTGGGAGGCCTCACCATATGGGTAGTTACTAAAATTATGGGGCTTGAGAGGATTTTCAGTTGTTGAAGGCATCAAGTTCAAGGTTATTCTCATCTTATTTGTTAATGAACAAACTTTTCCCCTTATATTCAACTTTCATTTTTAAAAAGTGGTATATTGACTGAAATAATGATTTTATGTGATCTATTTTGCTTTTTTATGCTTTACTGCTCATTTAAATATTTTGGAGTTAAAGCATCTGAAACTAGTTACTGTGTTTTATGATAGAATTTCCACTCAAGAACTGAAGGACATAAATTTAAGACTTACTTTAAAGCTAAACATGTATCATTTAAAATTTGAATATAAATTGAGCTTGATTAATAAAACTGGTATTTCATTTTTTTCTAAAAATCAGAATTATCTCAAATTAAAAAAAACTTATGAAATGCTGTTCTTTCTTTATGCTGTTCAGAGGTGTCTCTAGCAAAAGGCAACCTTAGACACCTTTGCATCTGCCTGCTGAGAGAGAACACTAGAGAATAAGGAGGCCTAACTGGCAGGAATTACTTAGACAATAAAGAAACTATAGGATATATTAATTTAGTCTTGGAAAAGTTTCTAAGAAAAAATAAAAGGAATCACTTCATAGCACATATCCACAGAGTCTGGAGAAGTAAAGGGTTAATGAACCAGATTTTTATGGAGTGGGAGAAATAAGCTAAGAGACTTCCAGGATGCTTGTGATGTGTGATTGAATAAAAGTTGAGTGAAAGATAAAAAAGAAAAAAAGATGTGTTCTTACATTGGTAAAGGTTTATTTTGATGCATTTTTGAGAGGTGGAATTCTTTTGAGGATTATAGTTTGAATTAATATATCCTTTTACAGGGCAGTTACCTAAGCCATTTGGCAGATTTCTTAGCAAGCGTTTGTTTAAAAAAAAAAAAAGAAGAAAGAAAGAAAAAGTCTCTAATCCAGTATGGCTTTCTAGACTGGTGACTATTTAGCCATTTTGGCTCTGAAAATTGGTAACTCAATAGTTTTTATAACTTTATATCTAAAAATATGCAAATTATCTCCACAAAATCAAGAATGCTGGGATTATATTTTAATAGTATGTGTTTGTATCTTCTAAAAAAAATCTCTGATTTAAAGGTATCAAGAAATGGAAATTCTTTTTGGTTAGGGAGAAAAACCCACTTAAATAATATGAAGAAAAATAAGTGTAACTTAGTATAAAGTTTAATACTCATTCTACAACTTATACTTCATTATCATATATTTTTAATAAGATAATTTTCCTTTTGTGTTGATCAGCTGAGTCATAACATTAAAAATGTGGTGCTTCGACCCAGTGGAGCAAAACAAAGCCGTCTAATGTTAACTCTACAAGATAACAGCTTCTTGTCTATTGATAAAGTGCCAAGTAAGGATGCAGAGGAAATGAGGTTGTTTCTAGATGCAGTCCATCAAAACAGACTTCATGCAGGTGAGCAGTGATTTTCTCAGGGTTTGACATTAGCAGTTACAAAAAAAAAAATACTACTAGAATATAGACCAGTATCCCTGATGAATATCGATACAAAAATCCTCAATAAAATACTAGCAGACTGAATTCAACAGTACATTAAAAGGAGAATGACAAGTGGGATTTGTTTTTGGAAGGCAAGGATGGTTCAAGGTATGAAAAGTCAGTATACTACTACAAATTAACAGAATGAAGCACAAAAACCACATAATCATCTCAATCCAGGAAAAGCATTTGGTAAACTTTAACACCTTTTCATGATAAAAACACTCAGCAAATTAGGAATAGAAGGAAAGTGCCTCAATATAACAAAGGCTACATATGAAAAGCCCACAGCTAACATCATACACAGCAATGAAAAACTGAAAAGATTTTCTTCTAAGATCAGGAACAAGGAAAGGATGCCTACTCATACCTCTTATATTCAACATAATACTGGAATTCCTAGCCAGAACACTCAGGCAAGAAAAAGAAAGGCATCTAAATGAGAAAGAGAAGTAAAATTATCTCTGTTCTCAGATGATATCATTTTATGTGTAGGAAACCCTAAAGATTTCACAGAACAATATGGCTAGAAAAGAAGGAGGATTTAAATTATGTTTGGGAAAAGTTGCCTTGCTCCATAAATCTTAGGTACTTGCCTTTCTATAGGAAACTTATTGTGAGGTTTTATTCTTGCTATGAAAATAGGATAAAAAAAATCACATTATGATCAGATTCCCCTGCTCACTTCAACTGTTTTCATTTAAAATGTTCTGATTTTTTAAAAAAATCAGATAGTATACAGATATCTCTTTAAGAATAATTTGTTACTTAAAATGAGTTTTCCACTATTATTAGTCTCCAGCTCTATCATCATCACTTATTACAAGTATTTTATAGTTGACAAACTTTCAAGTTTTTTAACATAAACATTAGAAAATGTTTCCTCCTTGTATTTAATAAATATCTCTATTTGATACACTGTGTTCTTTGTAAAATTGAAAAAAACGTTATGGTTGTTGTCCATTAAGTACCTGTTCATTATGTTTCCATTTCAGCAAATGTGAGCTTTGTCAATTTACTAAATAACTTGAATTTTAGGATCAAGGAATTGAGTACTGTTTAAAATTTTTAGAATATGTCAGGAACTATGTATTTCTATTTTTGTTTTATTCCATCATATCCATCATATTAATTGAATCACTATTTTAAGAATTGATGTAAGAAAAGTATATCTCCAAATACATTGGGGGTGGGAAGCACAGTAGACTGTTTGGGGACCTCGGTTTAAATCTGAACAACATGGCATAATGGAAAAATATGATCTTTAGTCATGAACAGATTTGGGGTTGAATCCTAGCTCTGTTATTTCCTGTGTGGTTTTGGGCAAGTCACTTAATGACTCTGAGTTTCAGTTTCCTCATTTCTAAAATCAGTTATATCACCTTAATTTCAGGTTTTATTAAAGAATTAGAGCTCATAAATGTAAATAATGACTGGCACATGATAAGCACTCAGTAAGTCACTGCTGTTATTAGAGTAGCTAGCCATGGACTTAACTTATTCTGTACCCTTGGGCAAGCTGTTTAATCTTTCAGGTTTAGTTCCTTTAGCTGCCCCAAAGTGGAGTATATACTTTGCAGAAAACAGAATAAGTAATTAACATAAAAATACTATTAAAGCATTTAACATATGTGTGGCATTTCAAATCTGTGGAAAAAATATAGGTCAAACAACTACCATTTAAGAAGAGAGAGTAAAGCTAGAACCTTATTTCACTTGTTTCATCTAAGTAGATTTTACATCATCAAAGATTTGAATATAAAAAATAAAATGATAAAAATATTAGTAAAAGGGGAGAGTAGATTTTAACATAATATCTGGAAGGAAAAGACCTTTCTTAACATTATACAAAATCCAGAATCAATAAAGGAAAAGATTTATAACTTGGAATATGTAAAAAGTTTAAGTGATCTCTGTGGCAAGGAAAAAAAAAGAAGAAAATACCAGCCACAGTCACAGAGTTAATATTGCTGATATACAAAGACCTATTTCCAAGTGTGGAAAAGAATCTAGTAGAGAAATGGACAAAAAGTGCATATAAGAAATTCAGGAAGAAAAATCGGTGGCCCTTAAATACAAAAAAACATCTCAACCTCACAGTAGTTAATTAAGCAAGTGCACATTGGTAGTAGTACGAGGGGAAGCAAGGTACTGTCATACACTCGGTAGGAACTAGAGTATTTTTGGAGGAATAAGTGGTGATAGCATGTAGTTTAAAATTGTACATCTTTTACCCCAGCAGTAGTTCTTCTAAGGAGTTTATCCTAAAAAAATCTTCCTATTAGTACAAAAAGATACATGAAAGGACGTTCAGTGTGGTTTGCAGTTTTTAAAAATTAAACATTCCAGATAATCACCAGCAGGAAATTGACTAAAGTATAAAATACATTTTAAAATATATACAAATTCATATTTATATAGTACCCTGCATGTTCTTTAAAGTAGCACTGATTTCTTTGGAATAGGATAATTCTACTTGCTGAACATACCAAGAGTGCTTTGGAGTATACATTATTGGAAATGTATCTGTCACTGGTTCTCCGTGTTACTTAGGCATCCAGTATCAGTGCCATGGATACACAGTGGCTAACTTTTCTACAGTGTTAATTACCAAATATTTATATAGCAGGATTTCTAGCATTTTCTTTTTGTATTTGACATTTTATCTTTCTATTACATATTCCCAAATTTTTGCATGTTAACTTTTTGCTTTTGAAACTCTAGTTCTAAATTTAAATTACTGTATGTGTCAGATATACTTTCTCTTAGAAAGAATTGGTTGATAAGCACTTTGTTTTATCTCTTCCCATTTGTGTTTCTTCACTTTTACAATAATAATGATAAATCTATTTAAGTGATTCAGAATTTTTTGTTTTTGGTCCAGCCATGAAACCTTCTCAGGGTTCTGGTAATTTTGGAGCTGTTCTGGGCAGCAGAGCCTCACAGAAGGAAACCAACAGGCAGCTTTCTTACTCTGACAATCAGGTATGTTCATTTGAATCTTCTTAGCTTTTTAAAAGAGTAATAATCATAGACATACATTCTACAGGGTCATTGCAAGAAGTAGGGTTTAGATGTAATGCCTAGTAGTTCTGGCATTGGTAAATCAACAATGCCTAGTAAATCTATCAAGGATATTTTCCATGTACCTGACATTTACCATTTTGGCTCTCTCAATCTCTGTTTCTGTGAAAATATTTCTAAAATGTATCACATTCGTCACTTACAGTTTATGAGTAAAAAGGTTATGTGGTTTAACCTTCGCTTGATGTGGTCAGTATGAACCTCAGTATAGTATAGTTTTTAAAAACATTGGTTTTAGATGTGGGTTTGAGACCTGGTGCTGCCACTTTCTAGCTGTTGGTCATGGGAGAAGTTCCTTAAGTACCCTCAGTCTGAGTGCCCATCTGTAAAATTGAGACAGCAATAATATTTTAAGGGTTGTGCGAGATAATGCATGTAAAAGTGTTTAGCTCATCAAAACTGAAGGAATAAAATAGCAGCAGACTCACAGACTCTGAGAGGGACTAATGGTTACCAAAGGGGAGGGGTTGGGGAGAGTCGGGGGAGGTGGGAGAAGGGGATTAAGAGGCACTATAATGAGCAGTCACAATATAGGTAGGTCACGGGGAAGGCAGTACATCACGGAATAAACAAGTAATGACTATAGCATCTTACTGCTGATAGACAGTGACTACAATGTAGGGTGGGGTGGGGGTGAGGGCTTGATGATATGGATGAGTGTTGAAACCACAATGTTGTTCATATGAAACCTTCATACGATTATATATCAGTGTTACTTTAGTTAAAAAAAAAAAAGTGTTTAGCTCATAATACCGCATCCTAACAACTCTATAAATGTTTGCTGCTGTTATTTCTCTGGAGCTGTTTGGGTCTGTTCTACATTATGAACTTTGCCCGTCCACTGTATGATACCAGACTGTTTTGTTGAGGTCTTCTGTTTGCTTTTTAAATGGTTTTTCTTTCATAAACATCATTTAGCCAGCCATGAGACTTGCTGTACATTATTGCAACTCAGCAGTCCTATGTCTTCTAATTTGTTTCACAAAGGGAAACCAGGTGTAAAATAAGAGAAGCTTTGACTCTCTCCTCTACATAAACATATGAGTTCTCTTTGGCTGTGTGGAGAGGTGATTATTAAGCCCATTTACTAAACTGAACTGAACCATGAATAAGATTTCATTTTTGTTTTTTATAGATAGGGTTGTTTTTTTTTTTACATTTCAAGTATAACTGACATTTAGTAAATTGCACACATTTGAATTGTACAATTTGGTACAGTTGTAAAATCTAGGTGTAAAATCATCACCACAATCAACCTGTGAACATGGCCATAACCCTTAAATTTTCTTTATCCCTTTTTGTAGTCCTTCCTTTCTGCTCCCTCTCTGGCCCCTATCCCTAAGCCATAAAAAATTTGCTTTCTGTCACTATGGATTAAGTGTGCAAATTTTCTAGAGTTTTATATAAGTAGAATCAGTATATAATTTTTTTTTGTCTAGCTTTTTCACTCAGTGTAATCACCTTGAGATTCATCCATTTATGGGTAGAAGTTTAAAGTGTTGGAATATTTAATGTATAAGTTAACATATTTAGCAGGAGCAAATATTTATGTTTTCACAAGTGGTCCCCTTTAGTGGGTTTATAAAATCAGTTCTGTAGATTGTGACCAGCATTTAATAAAAACAAGAATAAAATGGGAAATATAGTTGACATTTGAAAAACATGGAGGTTAGGGACACCTAGAATGCTTTTTTAAAAAAGTACTGATGAATGGGCCTTACGCCAGACCAATTAGGCTAGAATCTCTGGAGATGAGTCCCCAGTTGTGGCTATTTTTTTAAAGTTCCCCATATGTGAATCACTGGTCTAAAAGTATGCCAATTATTTTGAAGATTAAGCTATGTTAAACTTTATTCTTACAGGCCTCTTCAAAAAGAGGAAGTTTGGAGACTAAAGACGATATTCCATTTCGAAAGGTTCTTGGTAATCCAGGTAGAGGATCGATTAAGACTGCAGCAGGAAGTGGAATAACTGTCACCCGGAGTGTCCCCTCTTTGACGTCGACATCAACACCTCTTAGGTCAGGGGTATTAGAAAATAGGTATGATAAACCTTTTTTCTGTCTTATTCATTAGCTGTGCATGTTTATAAAAGTCTCTCAGGCCTTTTAGAAGGACCAGTAATTTGATAAAAACAAGATTGTCCAGGGAGTAAAGTGTTAGAAGAAGAAAGTATAGAGTGCATTGTTGGTATTTGTCTAATGTGGTTTATATCAGTGACACCTGTTGAGCATGCAGTATATTGATTTAAATGTGTTGTAGAGAATTGTAGAGAATTGTCACAGTTCTGGTCCTTGAGTGTGTCAGTTTATACTTTTTAATGATGGGAATTAATGACTTCTTAAAATAACCTTTTTTTCTCTGTTCTCTATAGGACTGAAAAAAGGAAAAGAATGCTATCATCGGGATCAGAGTTAAATGAAGATTACCCTAAGGAAAATGATTCATCATCGTAAGTTGTTTTAAGAACCTTTATGATACTAGATCAGGTTTTCTTATGTTGGTAATTACAACCACTAGGGAAGATTGAGGGGTGGTGTTCAACTGATGAAAATTCTAAAGGTAGAAGAGCAGAATTTAAAGTGCTTTGTTGACAATAGATTGTAGGCTGAACAGGGAGAATTTGTCTGTTGCTGTTGCTTTGGTCATTTCATTGAACTTCTCCCTTTCTAGCTTTTTTCTTTTTATCTGCAATACTAAAATGAAGAATAGAGCTAAAGAACTCTACAAAGATTATTTCTTGTTGGCTACTCTTTTAGTGTGAACCCTTTCCCTCTTTCCTTTATTTATAAAAATTTTTTTTACCTTACTCATGTGAAAATGTACCTTCTTAGCCAAGAGTAAAATGATTTGAACCCTACATAGGTTCTAGGCAAGGAGCATCAATCATTTAGAGGTATTTTCTGGGTTGAGCAAAAAGGTGGTAGTCTTATAATAGTATAGACACCACCTCACAGTCTTCTTCCTCATCATGGGAGTTTTGTTTTGTCTTTTTGTCTTTGGGGGAGAAAACTTACTATACAATTATTAGTTAATACCTCAATACCATAACAGAAATCAGTTGATAGTTAACTGGTATCTGAGGTTAAGGGGCCACCAGAAAGGAGTTGAAAAAAGCTTAAGAAACTTTATAAAATAATGGGGATCTTAGTTCTGCTGCTGTAACAGATGTAAAAATCTGGATACATGATAGGACTGATGATCTGAAATTACAATCACCATGGACTCAGATTCCTTCAATCTTGTTGATCTGCCATCCTTAGTAAGTAGCTTCCATTTTGTGAGCCAAGTTAGCCGATTCAGCCTCCCCTGTCATATCTGCATTCCTATTGATGGAAAGGAATGAAAGAGCAAAGGGAGGGAATACTGTTTTCCTTTAGGCTGGAAATTGTACATACCACTTGGGCATGTATCACATTGGCCAGAGTCATGTGGTCATATCAAGTTATAAGAAAGTCTGGGAAATAAGCTAGCCCAGATCCTAGTATTGTGGCAGAAGGGTACAGTCATTATTTGGAGACAACTAACACTGCTATAGATTAAAGTATACCCATTCACCATTCTTCCCTTACAAAGGACATTCTTACCCTCATCTTAATGAAGACAGCCTCCAGGTCTCATTTAGTCATTGCATCCAGCTCAGAGCCCAGGATCTCTGGGTGATGTGCAATCCTCTCTGTAACATTCAAATGTGCCTTGGACCATGTGCCTTATGGTCTTGTGCCTAAAAACAAAAAGACATCTTCACTCCATCTCTGTACGCATTTCATTATACATTGCTAGAGAAGGCACAGGATAACACAATAAAAATTTCCATTTAGAAAAGGCATGAATAGTAAACTGGAAGAGTCGCTGGTCTACAGCAGTGATGAAATACTGCTGTGCAGAAATTGTGGAGGCAGTGGAGTAAGTTCTTGGTTAGCCCACATTGCAATATCTGTTCTATCTGCTGGAGAAACTCCCTTGCTAATTGTACTCTGTATGACTTAAGGCTTTGCCACCTCCTGGTAGGTTTCTTTTGTTGCCTTTCAAGGTCATAGCTGAAGTAGGTTCTGAAGACTGGTCTTGTTTGTGGCCATGCAGCTTTTGTAGACTGTTTTATGCTGGTGTATTTCTAGAAGTTCAAAAGTGTCTAGGTAGATAACTAGAAGTTTTAGAAGTCTAGAAGCTTCTTAAAGGGTAGAACAAGCAGGCTTTATCAGGCTTGAGAAAGAACTGGGGCCAGTCTTTTTGTTGTTGTTTTGGTTTTTTAATTAACTTTTTGACTTTGGAGTAATTTTAGAGTTACAGACAAGTTGCAAAGATAATACAGAATGTTTCTGTATACCCCTCAACCAGTTTCCCCTAATATTAAAATGAAAGTTGTCTTTTCACGAAACTACTTACCCACTTACCTTGATCATTGCCTCAGTTTGAGATTCAGAGCAACTGGATTATTTTGGTCCTGTATGGTCTCAGATTACCAGCCAATTTCAGTTCTAGACCATTGGCACAGGGAGCTGTATTCCTTTTCATCCTTGATTATAAGATGACAAGCTCTTGCCTGAATTTCTCTATCTCAGATAGATAGGACTTTGCTGAAAGCAATAGAAAGCACTAACAGAACTGGAGACTAGTGTTTTTACTGTTTCAGTCTTTTAGAGTTTCAGGTTTGTTTAGGATGCTGTTTGCCTCCCAAGACATTACAGACAACAGTTTTGTAAATATTTTGCCGAGATATAACAAGTCACCAGCTTTTAGTCTATAACATCTGTGTCCTTACCCTCTATCTTCCTATTGAGCTAGTGCTACTTAGTAGGTTTGTTATGGTAGCACCCCACTTCTAGTAACAAAATTTGTGTATTGAGGTCCAGTTGTGGGGAACAAAATTCATCCTAGCTAGTTTACTCACAAAGGTATTTGCATATAAAGAGTATTAAATAGCTTACAGAATCATTAGGAAAGCTGAAAAGATAAGGCTTTAGGTTAAGCTGTCAAGAGTGCTTTTGAGACCATGCCCCAGATCAGGTCACCAGAGATGTTCCTGGCTGTTGTGAAGCTAACAGCTGAATTGGAGCTGTTGTGAAAGCTGTCATCTCTAGAACCATGCTGCCACTGTCAAGATTGGAAGTCTTCTATTAAAAACTTGACACCTCGAGGCTCAGAACCTCATCCCCCCTGCTTTGAGAGATATCTTCTGCATCCGTGGATGGTTTATTGCCCTCGTCTAGCTTGGATTAACACATAGTCTACAGGCACACACCTNATAATAATAATAGGAGAAATGTGGGATCAACATATAAATCAAGTACAAAAATCAAATGAATATTCATATTTGACCTGATGGTTTATAGGTCATATTGCATGATCAAAACCGAAAGTTTCTGTGATGACTGCCCTTGTACTGTTCACCATGTAAGAATTTATTCACTATGTAAGAATTCGTTCACCATGTAAGAACTTGTTCGTTATGCTTCAGAAGATTGGAGACTGACGAGAATTAGGCTTGAGATGGATTAATGATTGTACATTGAGCATTGACCCCCCTATACTGAATTTTATTGTTGTTAACAACCATTTGATCAATAAATATGAGAGATGCCCTCTCGAAAAAAAAAAAACAAAAAACTTGACACCTCTATGATGATGTTTGCCATCAGAAATAATGGAATAACATGGCCTCTGCCTTACTTCCACTCTCCAAATCTTGCACAAGTACATGTTATTGCCTTATCTTAAATCACATCCCGAACACTAACTAGAAAATGTTTTCAGCTTTCTTGCTTCTGTAGAACAGAGAGGTAAGTAAAAGGTAGTTGTAATGGACTGTTGCATGCCAGTCCACTATATCCGCCACACTTTAGGAACATCCCTGTTGTTCCACTTAAAATTCTAATGAGGCGTATATCTCTGATGGGTTAGTTATACTTGTTCCACCATTATAATTAGATTCTTTTGAAGTTTGGGTTTACTGGAGAAGTTTGAAGTTTGGGCTTCCTTGAAGCAGACTCTTGATGAATATACTTGTTCAAGTGACTTAAGTAAGAAATAGGAAAGACCAGTAACAGGATGAGGAAAGAAGGACAGGAAGCCAACCAAGGGTGCGATCTTAGGTGAAAGTCCACAGAGAGTAAACTTCATCTTTATCTAGCAGGGCTTGTCCCAACTTGAGGTAAAGAAGATGGGCTTTCATGTTGCCATATTCCACAGTCTTTGGTTAACAACTGCCCTAGGGCTTTTGGCTCTGCCTAAATGGCAAAATATTTTAAGTAGCTCAAAGGCAGTCCTCTGAAGAACTACAGGTGCTGGCTTTTGAAAACACATAGTCTGGAGGTGTGAAAAGTACAAAAAGGGATGTGAGGACCTCTGATGGAGCATCACTATTAAGTTCATTCCATTTGATCACAGATTCTTCACATTGGTGCTTCCTAATTTCTGGGTGTGAATCTTATAAAAGGAAAGTTAGTGGGATAAGCTACAGTCCTTATTGTCCTTATGGCTACAAATAGCCTTGAGGCTATAACTGATATTATCATCTCCTTCTCCTTATCCATTCTAGATTTGCTGCATCTTTCACTAACACTTCTGCTGGTCTGGATGGTTTGCCTGGTGGGATGTCTGAGGTCTTTATCTGTGTGGTCCAAGCCCCTGGTCACCATGTACTTGTCAGGCCATGGTTACTGTAACTGCCCATTCATAGTTAAAACTGAGCATGAGAGCACTAAGAGATTCCCTAGTGAAACCCCTTTATTCCAAACATATTCTTCCTGCTCTCATTATATATATAGCAGCAACCCTGCCTCCTTACAATAAAGTCAATTACCCTTGCCAGTAGGATAACTTTTCTTTGCCTGTTAATCTGCTGTCATAAGGAGCCTAAAATGACTAGATAGCAGCCAAAGCTTTAGATAAAATGGGACTCATACTGTCCCCCTTGGTGAAAAAGTTTCCCCTCTGGCAACCAGGACTTCTAGACCCACAAAATCTAAATTGGGATAGGAAACACCAATTCTCCATGGGGGTTATTGAGAATGATAATGAGTAGGAACATTCCTACTACTACTCTTTGGTTTCCAGATACATGTATTTTGTATAAATGTAATACATTGTATCTTGAATCCTAAGCTGTACCTTTAAAGGCTGTTGGAACACCTCATCAGGCCATCAGCTTTGGGGTAGTGTCATTTTGTGGTAACTAGTGGATCCTTTGATTGTATGCCCCCATTGGATCTCCTTTTCTTTTGCGTAAAGTAGGTTCTTTGTTCTAGGATGATGTTATGTGAGATTTCATGTTAGTAAGTAATAAATCACATGCTTAGGAGCCCTCAGATAGTGGTGCAGCCAAAGCACTGTGGGCAGGAAAGTTAAAAGCAAACCTAAGATAAATGCCAGTCCCACTCATAACTCGCTGCCTTTTCTAGAATGGAAGGAACCTGATGTGATCAATTGGTCACCAAATGACTGATGGGTTTTCTTAAGAGAGAATACTCTGTCGGGCTAAGCATCAGTCTCTGCTGCTGACCAGTTGGACACTGAGCAGCAGCAGTAGCTAAACCAGGCTTGGTGAAAGGGAGCCCCTGCTGTAGAGTGTGTACATAGCTTTTATCTTCGTCACGAGTGCTGTTACTCAAGGGCCCTTTGTGCAAGTATTGGGGTGGCTGAGTACAGAGATTGACTGGCATCTATTGAACTAGTTATCTGCCCGTTTGTTTAATATCTCTTCAGTGGGATTCTTTGGTAAGAGCATTAACATCTGAAACACCTCTTCATCCTTTGTACACACTTCCATAAAGCTATGCATATATCTCTTCAATAAATCATTTCTCCCTGATCTTCTAGGTGTGCTCTTTTCAGGTCCCTGATCATCATACAAACTATTTGCCACCATTCCCAAGTCCCTGACCCACTTTCTTCTCCATGCAAAGCAGACAATGAGGTATCCCTCTGAAACTCTGCATAGTAGATTTCCTCTCACCACCGTCTTTTAGGGCAGTCCCTTAGTGGGGCTATAGTGCAGCAGCAGTTCATTTTCAGCTTGTACAGATGTACTGAGGTGACCCACCCATGAATCAGGCCCAGATTTTTTCTTTCTCTTGTAGCTAGTCATAGGGAATGCTCACAAGCTCGGTTCTTGTTGTCTATTCCTGCTTACTTGGAACTAATCCCTGATACAGCACTCTCATTTTATGATGGATTACTGTTGTAATTTCCTGATTTTACAAGTTCAGAGTAGATATGATTCTGAGAGAAATCATAGCACCCACCCAGTTCATGATACCTAGCTTGGGTTTCATAGCCCCTTAATGTCTTTCAGGGTAGTGATTTGCCAGTAGCATGCTATACTTTACAAATGATGTATAATTTCTTGCTGCAGACAGCATGGTCTTGCTCTTGAAACCTAAGGATCTGGGCTGCAACTCTCCTTGGATTAGGGATTCTGCATGGTGTCTTTGTCTTTAAGTTGATAATTAGCTCAGCTGAGCCTATCGTTTTTCTCCCTTGATTAGATCAACACTCATAGCAAAACCAGCCAGTTTCATAGTCTTTATGATGATTATTCACCTCATATTACTTGTATCAGTTATCTATTGCTGTATAACAGACCACTCAAAACATGGTGGTTTAAAACAGTAACTGTTACTGCTATGAGTTGATGGTCACTGGAGTGGTTCTGCTTATTTGGGCCAGACTTAGCTGATTATGGCTGGATTCTTTCATTTTCTCATGCATCCATGGTCAGTTGATGGGTGGACTAGCAATTGGCTGGTCTAGGATGGCTTTACTCGAAGACAGGCTGTTGGCTGGCTAATGATTGGGGTGATGAGGGTGATTGGGCCATTTGTATTTCATTTCATCTTCTACCAGGTTAGCCTGGAATTATTCTCATAGCAGAGGCAGGGTTCCAAGAGAGTGAATGGAAATTTATAAGATTTAGGATCTTTAGCCTTAGGAACAGGACTTATTCACTGTTATGCCTGTCACATTCTTTTGGGGGGGGAAATCAAAAGAAGAAAAAGCCAGCCCCATTAAAGGATAGGGAAATAGACTGCATTTCTTGATTGGGGGAGGGGGAATTGGGTTCAAGGAAGGGAATAATTTGGGACATATTTTAAACAACTTTTAAATATTTTTTAAATGAGGTTCAATTCACATACCATAAGATTCACCTGTTTTAAATGTACAGTTCAATAATTTTTGGTAAATTTATTGAGTTGTTGAAACATGACAGTAATCCAGTTTTAGAACATTTCTGTATTGCCAGATCTTTAAGATCCATTGTTCAGTCTACCACATTTCTCAAATGCTAGAGATGTATAAGCCATATCCTCTTCTACTCTGTTCCATCCCAATTCACTACAGATGAAAAGTTTTAGTAATTGTAACACTATAGGATGCCAGAGGTGTTACTGCCAGTAATGGGATTTCTGTTGCCATTGCCAAATAAGTGGTCCAGTTCCAGAATCCTGACTTTAGTGTGTGCTTTCTTAGGCCCATTTCTAGTACCAGCTGAGGAAATCAAGTTCCCCAGAAGCAGACCTTGAAATGCAGATGAATTTGCGAGTGATTCATTAAGAAAGTGCTTCCAGGGGTTACCAGAAAGGAAGTGGGGGAAGCAAGACAGTGAAGTATAGGAAACAAAGCATTAGTGGGATCTTAGGGAAAAATCATGCCAAGTTAGGCTTCATCCTAATCCCAGAGAGAAAATCTATTATATAAATTTTATCTTACCGTTTTCTAATGCAGAGCAAGGGAACTGGGCTTCTATGCTCTAGCATTTGACCTTACTTGTGACTCTCAGAGTGCAGGCAAAGTAGCTCCAGTAGCTTGAGAACAGTCCTCTGAAGAAGAACCGTAGGTACTGGCTATTGAAAACATACCTAAATTGGTATGGGTGGGAGGACACAAAAATGGGGTCAAAGGGAATCTGGTGGAGCATCTTTGTTGTCAGTTACAGGATTTACATATTGATGGTTCTCCTAAAATTAGCACTTTTAATCAAAGCATGGGCATTTATCTGAACAGACCCAGTCTACTTATATTGTTCAGGTGTTTGGGAATAATAGGGGAAAAATGGGTTATAAGAAATGTTGACTTTGTGTTCCTGAACTTAAAATAGTTTAATCACTATTAATTGATAGGATGCTCACATTTAGTAAATAGTATTTCAAGTCATACAGACTATAAGAGCACTTGGGATTTTGTTTTACTTTTTAAACCTATTTAGTATCAAGCTTGAATAGTTTACCTCTTGATTCTTTTGGTCTCAGTAGCTGAATCATTCATCTGGTCTTGCATTTGGCTAAGTAAGTCCATGTAATTTTACTGTCTCTGGTTTGACTTCTTATAAAGAAAATGTTTCTTCATTTTTGCCTTATTACCAGGGTTATGGATTGAATTGCCTTTTGCCTTGGTAATGAAAACTTACTTTCATGATATTCATTTACTTAAGTCTCTGACCTCTTGTAACCTAACTTCCAAGCAAATCAATGAGTTCAGCACTTGAAATGTAAATTTTTTAAAAATCCATTTAAAATTAAGAACTATATCTTTATACACCTATGTATATTGAGTTAAATTGTTAACTGCAGCAACAACAAGGCCATGACAGATCCCTCAAGAAAGTATTTAATCAGCAGTCGAGAGAAGCAACTGAGTTTGAAGCAGTCAGAAGAGAATAGGACACCAGGTAAGTCCTGTTTGGTCTTTATGTAAAATACTCATTTATTATATGATGTATTAGACTAGAAATAAAAACCTAAACTGGGACATAATCTCTCTACATTATTACAGGAATACTGCATAATTCAGTACTAGTTTTTGGGTACCAAATTGTGTCTAGTACTTGGTTAAAATACTTTAAAGTGTTAGAAATATGGGAATTATTACTCTATTTACAAAGCATGTAGGCCTTACCTTCTTCCTATTTAACTGCCTAGAATTAAATTCCTTTGTCAAAGTAATTGGACCATAGAATGAATTCAAGGAGTTAAAATGGTTGAAATTAAAGTTCATCAATATTGCTACATACATGAAGTTCCAGAAGATCTTGTAATTATTGCCTAAAGCAGTTGTTTAAGCTCACCTTGTACCCCGTTTTTACAAAAACTGTAAGCTAGACTGCCAATGAATTTCCAGCATTTAAATATCTTTCTGATCTTCTGAACTCCTTAGAGACTCAGTTATCTGCTATTGATTTGAATATTTTGCCAACCTAAAATTAAATTGAAGCAAGCTCAAATGGTTCAACATTGGCATGATTTTGATAAATTAAAGAGTTTAAGAGAATTCATTTGGTCAAGAGGCTAGGAACATTCTCCTTTTAGTGGTTCAGGGTTGTGACATTGGACTCATACAGAAAGAAGTCTCTCTAATATAATTCTTACCACTGAAATAATAATACATCATGTAAACTTCACTGATGGTTTTAACTTTTATAATTAACCAGTAGTTAGGAAACAGAAAACTTAAAGATGTACTAAGCCTTAACAATGTTGAAGTTAAGGTACATCTTACACAAAAATTGATGTGGAAGAGGAGAGAGAAGTAAGTGATTAAGTGATAAGGTTTATGGAACAAAATGTAGAAGTTAGTAGAACTAAAAAACACTTATAATTGGTTGCTGAGAACAGAACAAGAGTAGGGGTGATGTAAATGAGAAATTTCTGATTTTTTATAATAGGGATTCAATTGATACTGTTTAAAATGATATAGAAACATCTAGTGTTACGGAGGAAATCAGAAAAACTAAGTCTTAAAATATATTAGAAATTAGAAGCAAAATTTATGGAGCTTTGGGGCAGGAGAGTATTTGTTGCTATTATAATGTTTCCCACAGTATTAAATCTCAACATATACATACATATATTACTCTGATGAAAAGAAAGAGGGGAAAAAAGACTTAAATATAAACAGGCTTAATGAATAATTATATTATTAGATGAATTTTAATGGTGGATTTAGGAATTAAATTTTTCCTGTGTGTGTATTTTTTTTTTAGGGCTTTTGCCTTTGCAGTCCTCATCCTTTTATGGCAGCAGAGCTGGATCCAAGGACTACTCTTCTGGCAGCACTAACCTAGACAGGTATGTATTGGTTATGTGGCTTGTGAAGAACTTGAAGAGTTCACTTCTTCAAAATACTGTATGATGGGATAGGCTGTGCATTATGGTCTAAGTGAATACCCTAATTTAAAGCACAAAATTGTTGAGAATCACTGACTCATAACATTTTAGTTAGAAAGTACTGAGGAAATGTTTTAGTTCAGGCTCTTTTTACATTTTCAACAAATGAATAAACTGAGATCTAGGAAGATATGTACTGAGGCCACAGGTGACTGGTAATGTGATCAGATTCTAGATCTTTGTATTTTCCTTTGTCCCAAGTGATAAACAAGATCTCTCCTCTGAGGCTTTTTAAAAAATTATTTTTAATTTTTTCATTTATTATTTCAGGTAACTTTTAAAAATTGGAAGATAGTTGATATACGATGTTGTATTGGTTTCAGGTGTACAACATAGTTATCTGACAAGTATATACATTACTAAATGCTCACCATGATAAGTGTAGTTGCCTTCTGTAAACATACAAAGATACTACAATATTATTGATTACATTTTCTATGCTATACTTTCATCCCCATGACTAATTTATTTTATAATTGGATGTTTGTACCTCTTTATCCCCTTTACCAGTTTTACCCCTCCCCTTCGCCCCTTCCCTGTGGCAACCACCAGGTTTTTCTCTATGAGTCTTTCTGGTTTGTTTTGTTTTTTAGATTCCACATATAAGTAAAATCTTTTGTATACCTCTGATTTATTTCACTGAGCATTGTAACCATCTAGGTCCATCCATGTGTTGCAAATGGTAAGAATAATGATGAAGTAATACTCTGTTGGAAATATGTACCACATCTTTATCCATTCATCTGTCAGTGGACACTTAGATTGCTTCCATATCTTGGCCATTGTAAATACTTATGCAATAAACATAGATGTGCAAATACCTTTTCAAATTAGTGATTTTGTTTTCTTTAGGTAAATTCCCAGGGGTGGAATTGCTAGGTCATATGGTATTTCTATTTTTAGGTTTTTGAGAAACCTCCATACCTCCTTCCATAGTCACTGTACCAATTTACATTGCTACCAACAGTGTTTGAGTGTTCCTTTTTCACCAACATTTGTCATTTCTTGTCTTGTTGATATTAACCATTCTGACTGGTGTGAAGTGATACATCATTGTGGTTGTGATTTGGATTTCCCTGATGGTTAGTGATATTGAGCATCTTTTCATGTGTCTGTTGGCCATCTATATGTCTTCTTTGGAAAAATGTCTGTTCAGGTCCTCTGCCCATTTTTTAGTTGGATTATTTGCTTTTTGATGTTGTTCAGTTATATAAATTTTTTAGTATTTTTGGATGTTAGCCCCTTATCAGATATATCATTTGCAAATATCCTCTCCCATTCAGTAGGTTTCCTTTTTGCTTTGTTGATGGTGTCCTTTGCTGTGCAGAGCTTTTTAGTTGATGGAGTCCCACTTTTTAATTTTTGCTTTTATTTTCTCTTGCTTAAGGAACTATCACCAGAAAAAAATTACTAATGCTGATGTTTAAGAGTTTACTTCCTATGTTTTTGGAGTTTTAAAGTTTCAGATCTTATATTAGGTCTTTTAATTCAAGTTTATTTTTGTGTGTGGTGTTAAGACAGTGATTCAAGTTTCATTCTTTTGCATGTGGCTGTCAGTTTTCCTAGTACCAATTACTGAAAAGACTGTTTCTTCCCATTGTATATTCTTGAGAGGCATTTTTAAATTGCCTTTGTTGCCTATGTATTTGTTAAACTACTGCCAAACGTTAAGGTGTTTTCTTTAAAACTAGTTTCATATTAGCAAGTCTCTTTTGCTAGTAAAAGCTAGTCAGAAATTGCTGATTCTATAGATGTAGATTAAATTTTTTGAGATGTATTGGATATAAACATGTGAGACAATTGCTAAGCACTTGTTAAGAATGTATGATCACAGAATGTAACACAGGGGCAATCGTAAAGGAGTAATTGAGGGTAATGGTGGTATATAATAGATATGCTATATAATGACCTGTTAACTCACATTTTGTTTTTTTTATTTGAATTTAATTCAGAGTGGAAAAATATCTTGATTATTTCTATAAAATGATTAAGGTGAGAGAAAGAATTTGGTACTGTACTTTTAGGTATATTCAGCCTTGGGTGGTATCTGTTAAGCACCTTGTGACTGTAGTAGTAATTAAGTTATTTAACAATTTCAGAGAGAGGAAACTTGATGTATTTCTACTTATTAGAAGACTCTTAAAGTAAGTTTAAAAAAACTAAGTTTGATTTGCAAATGATTTATTAAATCATAGATTTCTTCTCAAAATAATAGGATGAGCATATTCATTGCACATAGGAATGACTAAGGGAAAAAAATATTTTTTTAATGCAAAGCTGCACTCAAATATAAGGTGAACATTTCCAGACCAATGAGCAAACTAATATTGAGTAAAAGCTGAAAGCCATCACTGGAGTCAGGTATTTAGGGCCTGGTTTTCAAAATATGAGCTTGGGAACTGAACATGACCCCAGACCAGAACTTGATTTTTTTTCTTTTCTTTTTTTTTAAATTAAGGTATTGATATACACTCTTATGAAGGTTTCACAAGAAAAACAATGTGGTTATTACATTCACCCTTATTATCAAGTGTCCCCTACACCCCACTGCAGTCACTGTCCATCAGTGTAGTAAGATGCCACAGAGTCCCTATTTGTCTTCTCTGAGTTACGCTGTCTTCCCCGTGACCCCGCACACACCATGTGCACCAATCATGATATTACAGTCCCGTTCTCCACCCCCCCCCCTTTGGTAATCACTAGTCCCTTCTTGGAGTAAGTCTGCTGCTATTTTGTTCCTCCAGTTTTGCTTCGTTGGTATACTCCACAACTGAGGGAAATCATTTGGTATTTGTCTTTCTCTGCCTGACTTATTTCACTGAGCATAATACCCTCTAGGGAACTTGATTTCTTATATGAAGCTAGGTATCTAAAAATCTCTGTGCTGCTAAACCAAAGCAGAACACTTTTTCTGTATAACTACCTGGGTTTGGAACTATAAATCTGCTGCTTGCCCCATGCTCCCTAAGCAGAGAGGAAATACACAAAAATGGGAATTGCAGTGATTGGCATCTGCTTTATTATTACCTGCATGGGGGCAAGAATTCTGAACCACCTAAAATAAAAAAGCACTATGCAGATTAGAGGTCCAGACTGGGGCATCCACTAAGTACATCAAGAAGGCATGATCATGGAATACAGCCCAGAGAGAAAATGGTAAATGTAAATGAAGAGAGTGTGTTGGGCTCCGTGGTCTACCCTCTGTGTCTTAATAGCATTTTGGAAAAAAAGGCTAAGGAGAATAAAGGTAAAGAATTTCTCAAAGAAATAGTGGATGAAAATGATGAAAGTCCACACACTGATAAGCCCCAACAAATGCCAAATAGCAAATATATTTTTTATAAAAACCCAAAAGATGATGGGTAAAGAAATTTTAAAAGCTACTAGAAAGAAAATACATCATCTATATAAGGATGTATTGGTTAGTACTTGGTTAAAATATTTTAAAGTGTTAGAAATTGACACAAGCAATAATAGGAACAGAAGACATTGGAGTGATAGAATCAAAGAATTATAATTTAAGAATGTAGGCAAATAATGCTATTTTTAGAAATACAAAGGCAGAATTTGTCCAGTGAGAAGCAGACTGAACAAAGAAGTGGACATGAATATCAGTGAGCAAAAAAATTGGGAAAGCATAAAACCAAAATACTTTCAAAATATCTTTTGTATAATAAGTACAAATTGCAGAAACATAAAAAGTTATGGGGTGCATGGTGAAAAATAAGCCTCCCTTTCTTTTCTAACTCCTAGTTGTTCATTTTGTCTTTGCAGAAGTAACTTTCATCCTTCCAGGGTTATTCTATGCATCCAAATACACTTTAATAGTTTTTCTACAATAAGGATAATGGTAGGATTAAAAGCACAAAATAATAAAATACTAGACATTAAGAAAAAAATTTAAAAATGCGAAAAATACAGAGAAGTAGACATTTTAAGTTCTTTTTCTTGTTTGAGAGAAAGCCACAGTTAAGTTAGGCATATTAAAAAGTTAAAGACGCCTCTCTGGTCAAGATGGTAACAGGGACCAGATTTTCCCTCCTTCATGAAATAACTAAGAACCTGGACAAAATATATGAATACATGGATCTCAAGACATTGGACATGAGGCATTAAAGGACAGTGGTCCCTGAGAGACAGGAAACAATTAATTAGCTTTGAAACTGCAGCTTGCTTCCTTGAGAAATTTCCCAGGCTGCCATACAAGGAAGGGGAACTGAGCAGAGAGCACTGTGCACTTCTGAGTTGAAACAGCTAGGTAGGAATCTGGGGAGGCCAAGGCAGCTACAGTTCGCAGGGCAGAGTACTAAAGGGAAAGCTGCACGAAGATTATAGAGATCTGCAGAGGGCCACCTTGAATACCTATTCACTTGAGTGCTGATCAGCTTATCTGCAGGTGAGGAAACTAGCCAAGACCAGGGAAAGAACCACCCAAAAGGATCTAAGGGAATAATACTAGGAGTTCACATAAAGCCAGGCATAGTTTCTGGTCCCTAATAGCAGCAGTTTGCATGCTAAGGATGGTCTTGGCTCACTAGTGAGGGAAAACTATCACTAGACTAATTGCTGCTCTTTTCCCTCACGCAGACCTTAAAGCAAGGCCCAAAAAGATCAAACTGTTTCCAGGTAACCTAACCACATCCCAGAACAAAACTCAAGATAACATTTGTAGAAAGTAAAAAATATTCAGCACCCAACAAGATAAAATTGACATTCTCTGGCACCCAAGGAAAGATTACTAGGCATACAAACAAGCAGGAAAATACAGCTCATATGGAGGAGAAAAATTAATCAACAAATACAGAGAAATGACACAGATGATAGAATTAGTAGACAAGGATATTAAAACAGTTGCTACCCCAAATCAATAATGACATTAAATATAAATATACTAAATTTTCCAGTTAAAAAGAAAGACTAGATTATGAAGGAAGAAAAATAATCTATATGCTTTTTAAAAGAGAAACAACTACAATATGAAAATCAAGAAAGGTTGAAAGTAAACAGAGGGAAACAAATATACCACTCATTGTCCAAGCTAGAATTTTTAGGAGTGTATTGTAAGAGATAAACTGAGAGAAAGCTATTGATAAATTTTAGGGTATAGGAACAGGATTGTGATTGGGAAAAGGCACTTAAAAAAAATACATATATATATTAAAGAGTTGTTAAGTAGGTATTTGCTTTATAAAAATTTTTTAAGCTTCACATTTTTTTAATTGACATTTTATTTTTTAGAACAGTTTGCAAAATTGAACAGAAAGTAAAGAGTTCCTCTCTATCTCCTGTTCCCATACATGCACAACTTCCCTCACTGTCAACATCCTGAACCACAGTGACACACATTCAATTTTTATACACTTTTCTGTAAGTATTTTATGTCACAATTTTTTTTTGTTTTAAGTAAAAAAACAAACAGTGGCTAACAGATGTCCTCGCCAGACAAAAAAGCCATTTGGGACAATTAGTTTTTCCTTAAAAAATATTTTTTTTCATATATATTTCTACTTAACAATATGTGGGGGAAAAAAAAGTGCAAGCAGATTAAAGACCTAAATGGAAGGGAAAAAAAGATTTTTAAATTGTGGGAGAAAATATAAGAAAACATCTATGTGACTTTACATTACAGAATAATTCTTAAGCAAGATAGAAAAATGTAAACCATAAAAGGTTGATAAGTTTCATTATGTAAAAACTTAAAATATATAGTAGAGTATTAGAACACAGAATATATTTAAAAGCTATAAATCATTAAGAACCCAAAATAAAACTAAGGATACACAAAAGCAGTTCAGAGAAGAGTAAACAATTATAAAGCTATGTTCAGTTTTGGTAGCAATCAGGAAAATGCAAAGTAAAATAAAGAGATCATGTTCTACTCATTAGATTAATAATAATGTAATGGGGACCATGTGAAAAAGTGGAAATTCTCCATTGGAAACATGTATATTGGTATAGCCTGTTTGGAAAACAGTTACAATATCTAGGAAAATTTAAAGTTAAAATTGAAAATACTTCCTATGTTTTCACTGCTTAACATATAAACCATAGGAAGTTCACATGGAGATTGGCTAAGAATATTTGTTTTCTGTTATTATTTGTAATAGTGGAAAAAGTTAACTATGTCATTGTGTTCAAATTAAGTAAACTAATGTATGATACCAATTAAGTGCATAAGTGTAAATAAAAAAATAAAACTATAGTTTTTCTCAAGCCATATTTGAGTTATTTTGATTATAGGTTAAGTAGGTATAGTATTATATGTCTTTTTCACTCTCTGTCAACACATTTACTGATTCACATTTGTGGAATTTTTTTCCCCAAGTGATCATTACTGATATTTCCCCAAATTTAGGATTTTTTTCCCTATACATTGACTTCTCTGAATCTGCTAGGGAGAAAGTACCTCTTAAAATGTTTTGCTTCTTCATTATCCATTCATTTTTATAGGACTAATGTTTCAAGCCAAACTCCCTCTGCCAAAAGAAGTTTGGGATTTCTTCCTCAGCCAGCTCCTCTTTCTGTTAAAAAACTGAGGTGTAACCAGGATTACACTGGCTGGAACAAACCAAGAGTGCCCCTTTCCTCTCACCAACAGCAACAACTGCAAGGGTAGGTAAATTCTTTTATTTTGCCTTCTTTTTATAAAGTGATTCAACTGAAGTATGTTTTGCTTGATGTAAAAATGATGAAAGGAGTCATATTAATTGCAGTTCTAAAATATTTGCTCACTTAATTAAAGATTTATCATATCAATAATGTTAAATCCATTATCTGGCCTCTAATTTTTGTACTTTGAAAAATATAAATAATACCATATTCATCATAAATCAAAAAAGCATCTAATCCCATACACTTTATTTTACTCCTGAGATACTTCAACATTGTTATATTTCTATCCACCCCAGCCTCTTCATGCTTAGATTTTTATTTAACAGACCCAAAAAAAGAGATCATCGTGTAATAACTGTTTAAATTGATTAAACTGGAAGGTAGACATTTTAGAAGACAGAAGAAGAGAGGTTCAGAGAAAGGAACAAGTAAGCAGAGAAGAAAGTGAAATGTTTTCACTTCAAATTGAGTGTTTAAATGAATGCTTTCTTTAAACCCTGTAGTGGCTCTGTGATTAGACGTATTAAAATCTTCTGTTACAGATGAAGTGACTAAGGCTTAGAGAAGTTAATTCATTTGCCCAAGGTGATGCAGTCAGTAGTACAGTAGTAGTAAACCTAGGTTGTTGGGCTCAACTTACATTCTTAGCCATTATGCTATATTATTTCTCTGTTCCCTAATTTTTTCATTCCAGTTAAATCATGGGCATCCTCATTTTATAACCTTCAGTCATCTTAGTGTGCATTTAGATTTCCCTTTTTTCCAGTTACAGTCCTAGCTAGATTGTTTATATGTTTTTAATATTTGCTTGAACTTTTCTATAGGATAAAATTCTTGGAAGAGGAATTGTTAAGACTAAGGAAGGCACTTTGGAGTTTTTTATTACTCATACCAGATTGCTCTCCCAAAACCTCTACCAGCTTGTATGCTTTTACTTTCACTCAGTTTTTCTACCAGTAAAGATTATATTTCTACTTGAATGAGTTGTGTTTGCTGCTTTGGTTTATCCATAGTAGTTTACATGCTTCATACCTTAGTAGAATACAATATAAAATTTTCAGTGAGAACATCTCACTTCTTCACTTACCTGTTCCTTTCTCTGAGCCTCTTCTGCTCTGTCTTCTAAAATATTTGTTCTTCATTCTGATTGATCTGCCTCAAATTATTATCTTGCTGTTCCCTTACTGAACAGCATTCTTATGTTACTTTTATTTATTTCCTTTTTATTACTATTTTTCATCCACATCTTATCTCTGTCTACCTTGATTTTATTTGTCTCATTTTCTTATTGTCTCCCCTTGTGTATTTTATTGTTTATTTCTGGTCTCTGTCATTTACCACCTTCAGAGTACTTTGATATATTCAAGAACTACCCACCCTTGGTACTCCAAACTCACTGTCTGCCGCCATTGTTCCTTTAATTTCTGTATAGTACCTGTACCCATGTACTCCATCTCTAGAAATACAGCTTTCCTTTTTTAAAACTTATTCCAGGAATTAGAGTGTAGTATTTCCAGTAAGCTAAATACTCAGGACTAAGGAATCCTTAAAAAAAAAAATTTTTTTTTTTAAGTAGAAAACTCAGATCTATAGGAAAGAAAGCTACCTAATTTCAGTGTTCCCCACAAATCTCCAGAAAACATAAAATGAATGAGAAGTACAAAGAAAAGCACTTAAAACCTTCAGCATCACTAGGAGACAAAAAATGTCATCACTTCAAACAACTAAGTAGAAAAGCAAACCAAATTCCAGCAGTGTTCCTGTTTCCCACTGCTCTGAGCCTGTGGTGCTGACAATGGAGGGCAGGAGGCTTAAGAGATTCCATGAAAAAAATATACAGAAGTAGAAGACTTAGATGAAGCACAGAAAAAAATCATTTTTAAGGAGATTAAAAAAGTAAGTACCAAAATACTGAATATAGGTCCAGATCTTCATAGTTTTCAGTACTGGTTATAAGAAAGGGGCTTGAAAATAACTGGTATCAGAAGCAGCAGTCTCAAAGAAGCATTACTTGTGGGGAAAGAACCAGCTGAATCTGGAGACTTGAGTTAGAAGTAAAAAGAAAAAATGAGAGGAAAATTAAGGTTTGGACTGAAATAAAAGATGAACAAGACATGTCAACCCTTCCTTCTCTTCCTGCCACCACCGTCACCACCACCACCATTCATTAAAGAAATTGCACTTTATTAAGCTAACAGGAGAAAGTGTGCTTAGGAACCCTATCCTCAAAATGAGTAGGAATGTAAAAATCAGGCTGCTTCCTACAAAACTGTAAAAAACAAAACAAAACATAAAAGACTTAGGCCAATAAGAATTCTACCCCCAAAACCAACATTAACTGTAAGATAATTTATATGCCACTCAAAACTGAGTTAACTATTCTCCAACAATCATTTGAAGAAATGAGAAAAGCACCATGAATCAGGGATTCAAACCTAGGAATCAAAACGGACAAGTAGGAAAAAATGACAGTTGCTTGAACTCAGAAAAGGTGAACAAGAAGGACAACATCACATCACAAATTAAGTCTAAATTGAAGGTCCCCAAGGGGAAGTAAATTCAAATGAGAATTTAATGAGGGCCATGAACAAAAACAAAAAAACAACTGAGAAGGATAAAGTGAGATGAAGAAGTATAAACAGTGAGAGAGAAAGTGGTTGAAGTGGAAAACGGGCAAGGAAGGTCCCATGTTACATGTAAGTAAGTAGAGCTCCTGAAGAGGCAAATCAAAACAGTGAAATAGAACTAATATTTAAAACTAAAACTGAGAGAAACTTCCCAGAAATAAATTATTGAATGTATACAGTGAAAGAATCCTCCAGGCACCTGGAAAATTGAATAGTCAGATACATCTTAGTACAGCTATTAGACTTTAAGGGAAAATCCTCATTTCCTTGAGTCAAGAAGATGAAATAATTTGCAAGGGCAAGAGAAATAGGCTGACACCAGACTTCGCAAAGTCATCATTCAAAGCAAGACAAAAAAAGGAACTTGATGAAAGAAAGGATGAAGAGAGCTTTTTGTGCTAATCCAAGGTGTGAAGAATGCTGGGTAGGCTAAGGGAAGAATGGCAGCAGCCATGGAGGCCTCGGCTCTGCCTGGCACCTTCAGGCTTTTGTGTGCAAGTCTAGCATCCTGAGACCCTCCGCCTGGAGTGGCTTCTTTATGGTCTACTTACCAAAGGTTCAGTTTATAGAGTACTTCATTTCACAAGGATATGTTCCTACATCACTGAGTCTTCCACCTTGGCCAGAAATTGTTTTGTCAGACCCAGCTGAGGAGACCAGACATCTATGCAGAGCTCATGGGGAATATGAATGAGCTGATTGGTACAAGCCACTTATGGCAGGCCCTTTGCTGTAGTACACTTTACTAGCCACCAATAAAAGGTGACCTCTAAGGACCTGTTTTTATTGAAAATGAATTTGACATTGCATGTAGAGAGAGTATTTGGTTGGAGAAGACCCTGTTAGTTGGGGCTGACAACTTCACATTACTCAGCAAGACTCTCCTTTGGTAATGTGCTCTCAGATTCCGTGCTTTGTCTAGGACCCAGGCAGTGAGGCCAGGCAGGGAACATCCAGACCAAATCACTGGTCTATTACTAATTCATTACAGCATGGCCTTTTTAAAGATTTATTGGCAGATTACACCATTCCTTTTTTTTTTTTTAAGTTGACATACAGTATTATATTAGTTTCAGGTCTACAACAGTGATTTGGTATTTTTATGTGTCATGAAATGATCACCTTAATAGGTCTAGTTTTCCTCTGAAGTTACTACAATATTATTATTGACTGTATTCTTTTTTTATTAAGGTATTATTGATATACACTCTTATGAAGGTTTCACATGATAAAACAATGTGGTTAGTACATTCACCCATGTTATCGTGTCCTACCCATACCCCAGTGCAGTCACTGCCCAACAGTGTAGTAAGATGCCACAGTCACTATTTGCCTTCTCTGTGCTACACTGTATTGACTGTATTCTTTAGAAGAAAAAAGAGTGCAGGCTAGAGAAATTTTAAAGTGGAAGAACTCAGCATACTGTATACGTAATGCTCTTCCTGAGGACTCTACAGAGTATGAGCTTCAACCAAGCGGTGACAAGAGAGAGATGATGAGCATTTCGTATATTCAATTACAGAGTTAAGACTGGAAACAATGGTAGGAACACATAGAAGAAAATGGATGGAGAGAAAAAGGAAAATGAATGAAGATTGAGTCATAAGTAATAAGTATGAGTCTAAGGATGCCATTTAAGAGGGACAGATGAGTTTTAAAAAGCATTAGAAACAAGGGTTAGGATACTATTTTTAAAAGTATAAATACAGATATAACAACTAAAAACATTCAATCCTCTTTAAAAACAAAAATAATTCTAAAACACACTGGAAAAATAAGTAAAATTACGGTATGACAGTTGAATCCAGTCATATCAGGAAATGTGGAGTACCACACCTAATAAGAGAAAAATATTTTCAAATTGGCTTATAAAGTCAACTCTGTTGTATACTAGAGATGAACCTAAAACAGTGATTTTTAAAGTTTTAAAATAAAGGAGAAGAGATTTAGCAGTCTGATGGGGAAAAAAAAGCAAAGGTTACAGTCCTGATAGCTGATAAAGTTGAATGTGTAAAACAGAGATCTAAATAACTTAATCAGGTAGATCTGTGGATATAAAGTTCTGTACTCTGATAATAGAAGATAAACCTTTTTAAGCACATGGAACATTCACAAAAATTAATATATTAGGGCACAAAGGAAAAATCAGTAGGCTCAATAAATGAGAAGTAGCATCTTTTGCTCACAGTGAAATAAAACTAGAAATTAAACATGAGACTATCAAAAGGCACCTTCCAACTAATTCTAAAAACCCCATTAAATGACCCTTAGGTCAAACACAAATTACAGATGTTCTGAAGATGAATGATAATGAAAACACTATACATCAGAATCTATGGGATATATTTAAAGTAGCAATCAGAGGAAAAATCA